TAGAGATGGGGGTCTCGCTTTGGCTCAGGCTAGTCCTAAACTCAATAGTTCAGGCAATCCACTTGCCCCAGCCTCCCAAGTGCTGAGATTACAGGCACGAGCCACCACACCCAGCCTTAAAGCTCTTTAGATATTAATTTGGAAATTTCCACAGAAGTATAACACTTTACTTTGAATGCAGCAGAACTATTTTACAGTTATTTTGACGGAGAAACTTTTCCTTCTTTGGGAAAAAGAATGGGTTTTGAAGATGAGACGGACAAATCAAGTTGAGGGCAAAAAATCAATTGTTTCAACCTCCAGGGCCGATCAGCAGCATCTGTGTAGTTGAAGCAGGCAGTGGTTTCTCTTACTAGTATGCTATACAAAATTAGTTAGCCTTGCTCAAATCTCAACCTTGGGCTCGGCGCCCGTAGCACAGTGGTTACAGCACCAGCCACGTACACCGAAGGTGGTGGGTTCAAACCTAGCCCAGGCCAGCTAAATAATGACAACTGCAACAAAAAATAGCCGAGTGTTGTGGCAGGCACCTGTAGTCCCAGCAACGTGGTAGGCTGAGGCAAGAGAATCTCTTAAGCCCAAAAGAAGTCAGAGTTGAACAGTTTCCTCCAGAGTAATGAACCAAATCTTACTTAAATTAGAGTGAGAGGGATCAGCCAGGTACAGTGGATCAGACCTATAATCCCAGCACTCTGGGAGGCCCTGGTGGTGGATTGCTTCAGCTCAGGAGTTCGAGACCAGCCTGGACAAGAGTGAGACCCTTGTCTCTAACTAAAAATAGAAAAATGGAGGCAATAGGATATCTTGAGCCCAAGAGTTTGAGGTTGCTTTGAGCTATGAAGCCAGGGCACTCTACCCAGGATGACAGAGTAAGACTTTGCAGAAAAAAAAAGTGAGAAAGATCAACTATTCCCATCTACCCCTGAGTGAAAAAAAAAGAGCAAAGAAAAGTAAGTTAGGGTAATTAAACTCAACTCCCTTAGCAAACGATTCATTTTTTTTGTTTGTTCATTTTTCCTTTTCAGAGAGGATCTCACTCTGTTGTCCAGGCTGGAGTGCTGGGACCCAATCATAGCTCATAGCAACCTCAAACTCCTGGGCTCAAGCAATCCTCCTGCCTTAGTGTCTCAAATAGCTGGGACTACAGACATGTGCCACCATGCCCATCTAATTTTTCTATTTTTTGTAGAGATGGGGTCTCACTTTGTTGCTCAGGCCAGTCTCAAACTCCTGGTCTCAAGGTACCCTCCTCCTGCCTTTGCCTCCCCAAGTGCCAGGATTACTGGCCCAAATATACTTTTAAAGATTGTTCTAATTCAATAAAAGTTGTATTCTCTAAGGATTGTAATAATTGGACTTTACTAAATTAGGTAATCTATAACATTTACTGGGAAGGGACAAATTAAGGACAAAGATACTATTAATGCTCCACAGATTCTGAGAACAATGGTTTATTAGCGCAAGGCACTTCATGTCTTTTTTGGTTATATCCCAATCACTTTAAAATGTTGTAAGTTCACATTTTATGCTTCACATTTTTCAAAATTTCTTCCTTCACTTTCTGTAGGATCATTTTTAATCTATGAGAAGCCTGTATGGATAGTCGGGTACTTTAAATCTAAAGAGAGAAAGCAGCCAGCTGAAGGATACTGCAGCTAGACACACACCAGATACGCACATCAGTTTCCTCATTATGATGTCTGTCCTAGACCTGGCGGCTTTATCTAACAGCAGCACACCCAGGGTAACGCACATGTTAAACAAAGCAATGATGTATGTTTCTGGTACAAACTGAGAGTAATTAGATTTACTGATATAATGGATATGTCCAGTGTGAGGATTCCTTTCAACATATGGTTCTCTTTTTATGTAAATCCACATCTGACCAGATATCATCACAACCACAAAACACAGAGTTAAAAATTCCCATAAAATTCTGTGAAAAATAAAATTCCCGTTCCATTTCAATAAACACACAAGTCCACCAATGAGACTCAAAAATATCCCTAACGTGAAGAGACTATGATAATTTATAGGCTCTCTGTTGCTGAGGGTCATTCTCTCTGCTACCCATTCACCTATTTTCTCGGCTGTGAAACCCCTTTCAGCTATATCATAAATGTCATCTGGTATAAATGTCCTTTCAGCAGGAATGTAGAAGAAAACTGGAACTTCTGCCACGTGGAGCATACGAAAGATTTCAGGGCTTCTATCATAATCCACCATAACAAAAAATACCTTGTTGGTGAATGGATTGCGGTATTTCCAGGCATCTGCCAAGATCTGAAATTCTTCAGCAGTGTGTTCACATATTTCACATGATCTATGCCCCAGGAGAATAGTAAACATCACAACAACAGAGTAGTTTCTTGGTGTTTCTAATACAAAATGATAGAACGCGGGGTAACTCATTCTTATCACTCCATTTTTCTTGGTCCAATGCATCATCTGTCTGACCTTTCTTGCTAACACCTTCTTCTCTTGGGCAGGATGTGTGGAAATGCCATGAGTCATGAAGACCAGGGCCGTCACTACAGTCAAAAGTGTACGCCAAAGCCACCGTGGTTCTGCCATATTTGTTTACTTCTTTTGGTTATAAAATGTTTCAAAACATGTAAGCCCAAATTTGATCATTTCTTTCAACAATTAATTTGTCCAAGACCTTTTTTTTCCCCCGTCTTCTTCAATCCTGGTAAAAGAGATATATCACAAATTCTTTTCATGTCCAGTTTATAAACCATATTAGAATTTACAGAATAACCTATGGAAAAAAATACTCTGTGGTGAAGACAGTTTGGGAAATATTGTTTCAGCTTTTAGTCCTTCTGCTGAATTCCAGACCACATTTTTTTTTTTTGAGGCAATCTTACTTTGTTGCCCTACTAGAGTGCTATGGCATCATAGCTCACAGCAACCTCAAACTCTTGGGCACAAGTGATCCTCTTGCCTCAGCCTCCCAAGTAGCTGGGATTACAGGCACCTGCCTCACTGCCCAGCTATTTTTTAGAGACTGGGTCTTGCTCTTCCTCAGGCTGGTCTTGAACTCCTGAGCTCAGGTAATCCTCCTGCTTTGGCCTCCCAGAGTGCTAGGATTATAGTCATGAGCCACCAAGCCTAGCCTTCCAGACCACATGGCTAGTTGCCTACTAAGTAGTCCCTAGATCCACCACGAGTCTCTCAGACTTCTCAAAAGCCAACCTCATCCCCCACTCCCTGCCTACCAAGCCCTTGGTTCTCTGCCTTTCTCTGTTAGAGATAATACCACCCCACCAAAGACTGAGTTTGTTTTTTTTATAGTTTTTGGCCAGGGCTGGGTTTGAACCTGCCACCTCCCACATATGGGGTCAGCGCCCTACTCCTTTGAGCCACAGGTGCTGCTCCCAAAAACTGAGGTTTTAAAACTGAAGGATTCTTCTTGGACTCCTGCTTGGCCCTGGGAAAGACTGCCTGGGTTTGAACCTGGACACATTCCTCACTGCTCTGTGCCTCAGTTTCCCTGACTGTAAGGCGAAAACGGTAATAGTACCCACCTCCTGGGATTGTTCAGCAAAGCCCTCCGCACAGGATCAGGCCCATCTTCCTCTCTCCTTCCAGTGCCCCACTGGAGAGGGGTGGAGGGGAGCAGAGAGAATGTAACCTAGTGGGGAATCAGACACACCTGAGTTTCCATTCCTGCTTTTTGGCAGTTTCTCTCTTGTTACCTGCAAAAATGGGGATAATGCCTATCTTACCTATTAGTTGTGAGGATTAAATGTTAAATTTTTCCAATGTCTAAACAGTATCAGGCGACAAATGAATTTTTTTCCCTCATCTTTTTTTTAGGTGATTTAATTTTGACCATTGTTTTTAATATGCCAGTTATCTCTCCCAGGTTGTGTCCTCCCCAAATACCAAGATCTTTCTTTGTATGCCTTCAAGCAGATGGGGAACATTGTTGGGTGAGAGAGGACTGAGGAAATGCGTGCAATGTTAAACCCAAGTCCGTTTCTGGAAGGAGATTGGCTGTGGAGTGAGCTGAGTATTTTTTTTACATACTGTTCGTACTTTTTTTTTTTTTTTTTTTTAATTTTTAGAGATGGGGGACTCGCTCTGTTGCCCAGGCTGGTCTCCAACTCCTCAGTTCAAGCGAACCTCCCACCTCGGACTCCCAAGTATTTGGGACACAGGCGTGAGCCCCCGCCCAAGTGCTTTGAGCTTTGAGGCACAAAACCAAAGGCCCATCTCTCTGCATCTTCGAGATGGGCCGAGCAGAGCAAACCCTGTAGGCTTCGTTATTTTTTGGTTTTTTATCATGTCGATGCACAACTTTTATCAAAATAAAAATGTTTAATTTGTAAACCAAATGAATGTTATACCCCACGCTCTCCTCCTCACGCACCCCAGCACCCTCGGCCGGCGGCCCCTCGCCTACCCTAGAGGGCTCTGCCGAGGCGGCCCAGGACGCCGCGCCGGTCGCCGGGCTCAGCCAGGAGGCCGGTCGTGACCTCGCGGGGAGCCGGGGTTGCCTAGCAACTAGGAGCGTTAAACAGAGGCGCCGGTAGACCGCCGCTCAGGTGCAAGCCCGAATAGAAGGTAGGAAGGCCAGGGGAGCGCAGGCGGTAGGGGCTACCGTCAGCGCCCACCCCGCCATCCCTCCTCGAGGCTTCCTGGGCGCCAGGACCCGGAGCACTGATATAAACCACAGATGATTTTCCTGCCGACTGGCGGGCTTCGCTGGGAACCAGACTGACCCCAGCTTCTCCCACCCGGTCCCCCGCACGCCCGCGCCACCGCCTCCAACAGAAGGCGGAGGGAGGGAGCGCGATGACCACGTGGGGAGGGGACAGCGGGGGGGCCCCCCTTCTCTCCGTGCCAACCCCATCCGCCTTGGAGAGAGAACTGGGCTCCTTCTCCGAGATCCCCCATGGGACCTGGCCCACAGAGGGGGAAGAGAAAGCTGAACTAGATTAGACGTGCTTGCTGAAAGTTTGGGTGGAAACTGGATTAAGGGCTATGTTTCCTGCCAACTCCCCCAACCCAGGCATTTGGCGCTACACACACACCAAAGGACGCCATTAACCCCTTTTATCTGCTCCAGGACCTGAAGGGTCCAGGGTTTTGTCCCTGCAGGTGGACGGGTTGGAGGAAACTTAGTTAATGCCTCTCTCAAAGTTGTGTAAAGCAAGGGCTGTTCCCAAGCCGACTTCTGGCAAGAAGCTCAGAGCAAAATGAGCCCATCCTGCAGGGGGCAGGGGCATTTGCTCCAGGAGAAGTTGTCTCCTGCAGCCTTGTTTTCCTTCTGCAGGTGGTGTATTTGACCCTTCCAGTTCCTGTACTATGGCCACGCTGAGTGCCAAGCCGAGTCAGCGCTTCCAGCTGTCCGACTGGCAAATCAATAGCCACCTGCTGTCCACCAACGCTGAGAGGCAGCGAGATGCCTCGCATCAGATCCGCCAGGAGGCCCGGGTCCTCCGGAATGAGACCAATAACCAGGTTTGAGGCAAGAGCCCAGTTGGGTGGATGAAGGGCTAGCCCCCACCCACTGACACCCTTTTTTTTTTAATTGAGATGCCCTCTCGCTTTGTCACCCTCAGTAGAGGGCTGTGGCATCATAGCTCACAGCAACCTCCAACTCTTGGGCTCAAGCAATTCTCCTGCCTCCTTAGCAATTGGGACTACAGGTGCCCGCCATGGGACGCCCAGCTATTTCTTTTCTTTTCTTTCTTTCTTTCTTTCTGTTTGTTTGTTTGTTTGTTTAGCAGGCCTGGGCCAGTTTCAAACCTATCAGCCCCCGGGAGCATGTGGCTGGTTCCCTAACCATTGAGCTACGGGCACTCCTCTCTGACATCCTCTTTATCTGGCTGTCTTTTCCAGACCATTTGGGACGAATATGACAATAGAACTCGACTGGCAGAGAGGATCGATACTATCAACCGGTGGAAGGAGATGCTGGACAAGTGTCTGACGGATTTAGATGCTGAGATTGATTCCCTGGCAAAGGCAGGGAGCTGGGGGCCAGGAAACTCTGCTGCAAAGACCCACTCCTCCTTCCCCACTTCTGGATGGGGGTCATGAGTGGCATGACAGTCACTGGCCCCTTGGCTAAAGTGGGGTAATAGCTACTTCTGCCATGGCTCCACAAGCCTCCTGTGTCCCCTTTTCCAGATGAAGGAGTCAGCAGAGCAAAACCTGCAGGCCAAGAACCTACCTCTGGATGTGGCCATCGAGTGTCTGACCCTGCGGGAGAGTCGGCGGGACATTGATGTGGTGAAGGACCCTGTGGAGGACGAGCTGCATAAAGAAGTGGAGATCATTGAGGCCACCAAGAAGGCCTTGCAACAGAAGATCAGCCAGGCCTTCGAGCAGCTCTGGTAAGGGCGAGATGGGCCATTGGTATGTTCACAAGCACTTGCAGGCTTTGTGCCTCAAAAGGGAAACACAGGCATTGTGGATAATGGTAACTGGCTCTCGTGCTACCAATGACAGAAACCAGTGTGCCCGTGACAGAAACGAGTGAGTGATTGTAGTGCTTTTATCACTGCCTGGACATAATCTCAGAGTCCATCTCACGCATGACCCTGCTCTAGGCAGCCAGGATCAATGGACGGAAAGTGTAAGTGATAAAACCCATCGGGCAGTCCCCCTGAGTACCTTATATGTACATTGATAGGTAAAAATGGAAAAAGAACAGCTCAGAACACTCGAGACCAAAGTGTCACAAAGGCAGCACTGTTTATTTTGAAACTTGGGTCTAAGTGGGCTAAGATCTAAAGAATGTTAGTGGGGATTTAGGGAGGGAGGGAGGTCTCATATAGCTGGCTGAGGATGCTGTTGTTTCCATCAGGACATCAAAGATGTTATCTCATTATGGGACTGTCCTGGCAGGTTCTTCTTATCAGAGTGTCAACATATTTCTCTCGGTGGGTCTGTAATTGGGCCAGTGCAAGGACAAGCCTGCAGCATGTCTCTCTTATCTGAGTTATGTCCACTCATAACAGAGTCTCACAGAAGGGCTTTTCAAGGTGGAGTTGGTTTGGCCAACCTAACATACGTGTGAGTCTTTGTGCCCCCATGGGTATGTGTGAGCACTTGGTGTCATCATGTGGTCTGTGGGAATCCCATCTTGATGTGCTGGTCTTTGCTTCAGTTGCAGCAGTTTCAGGGTCTTCTGCTGGGAAGAGTCACCCTAGCCTCCTCACCCCTCAGTGCCCTTTAGTCCAGTGAGGCCTACATCCCAGGCCCTTGGGGGCTGGTTCCTGACTGAGTTTGCATTCTCCTCAGCCTCCTGCAGGAAGTGCGCCAGCAGCTCAACTCTGACCATCGGGGCAAAATGGAGACACTGGAGATTGACAGAGGTTGTCTCTCTCTCAACCTCATGTCCCCAAACATCTCTCTGAAGATCAATCCCACACGTGTCCCCAATGGGTAAGAGGAGGGGTTCAGTCTGTCTCTCCTCCTCCTTTCATGGGCCATGCCCTGAGGACCCCTTATGTCCTGCCGCCTGCAGCTCCACCACACTCCAGCAGTGGGATGACTTCAGTCTGTTCAACAAGGACCAAGCAGAGGCAGAGATGAAAGCAGCCATTGAGCTGAGGGAGGCCATTGCCTTGACTATTGCTGAGGTGACCGCCAACCCCCAGCCAGCTCCGCCTCCACTGCTAACAGGTGGCCCAAGTGCATACCTAGCCATTACTTTTTGTTCCCAGTTGACCAGGTGGCACCCCTTCCCCTCATTTAAGCAACATCCTCACGTGACCATGTGCTTACACTCATACCCTCTCCTTGCCTTGCCTACTTGTCTCAGACCAACAACGAACTCGAAGCCCAGAGGGTCGCCACAGAATTTGCCTTCAGGAAACGGTTGCAGGAGATAGAGAAATTGTACAGTGAGCTCAAGTGGCAGGAGAAGAATGTGAGCCTTCTCCCTGGGCCTGGACTCGCTGCTGTGCAATAAGGAGCTGGATTCCTGGCCAGGAAGCCCTGGAGTGGGTGCCCTGTGGTAAGTTCGGCTGGTGGAGACCCTCACTGTGTCCCCCTGCAGACCTTGGAGGAGATCGCTGAGCTGCAGGAAGACATCCGGCAGCTGGAGGAGGATCTGCGCATTAAGTTACTGAGCCTGAAGCTGTCCCATACCCGGCTAGAGGCCAGAACCTACCGGCCCAACGTGGAACTCTGCCGGGACCAGGTGTGAGGATGTCCCAGTGGGGCACGGGCCCCTTGCTAAAGTTCCCTGGGGATCACCCCCCAGTACACATTCCTGGTGGAGCAAGGGCACTCAGGACTGTGGCAAAGGACCCCACAGCTGATCGGCATTCCCACTCCCCGACCCCCTGCCTCCAGGCCCAGTACGGCCTCACTGACGAGGTTCACCAGTTAGAGGCAACCATTGCCTCCCTGAAGCAGAAGCTGGCACAAGCACAGTAGGTCTGGGGAGTGGGCAGGAGGGGCAGGGAGAAACTGCCTTCCAGTGGAGCCTTTTGCTGCCTGCCAGTTCCCTGCCTCATGCCACCTTCCCAGGGATGCACTGGACGCCCTGCACAAGCACCTGGCCCGGCTGCAAGCTGATATTGCCTGCAAGGCTAACTCCATGCTACTGGACACCAAGTGCATGGACACGCGACGCAAGCTGACCGTGCCTGCTGAGAAGTTTGTGCCTGAGGTGGATACCTTCACCCGCACTACAAACCGCACCTTGAGCCCTCTCAAAACCTGCCAGCTGCAGCTGGCCTAGCCTTGGAGGAGTGAGTGTGGAGGGGAAGCTGAAGCTTAGGTGGGGAAATGGAAGCGGCAGGAGAGACTGAGTCTAATAATAAACGTGCATGTTCTCAGGCCACGCTGTTTTTTGCTACCCCCATACGTAGCTTGCAGGAGGCAGAAGCTTCTTGACCTGCCCGCCTGTGTATGGAGGAGCAAAGATGGGGAACGTCATCGCACCAACCACCACGTTTCAAATCCGTTCCTTCACCCTCCGGGAACCCCTCTCTGGGCTAGACGTACACAAGGCTTTAGCAGTGGTGCCTCCACCTAGCTCTGCCCCTGCACCAGCCGGCCCCTTTGGAGACGGGAGGCCTAAAGGAGGTTGAGAGGAGGCCAGGATCACAGCGGGAGGTCGTAGTGGGGGATGTCTGAGATTGAGTCGGGGACCCTTTAGTGGCTGTCCCACACGCTTATGAAGGCTTTTCACGAGAACTGGGGGCTGCGCAGCGCCTCCGGGCCGCTGGGGGCGCTGTGGACCGGGGAGCGGCGCGTGGGCTCCAGGCCACTGGGAGGCGATGTGGGGCCGGAGAGGAGGGAAGCGGCGCCGGCGGCACCGGAAGTGGGGGCTGGCCTGCGCGCGGATGGCTGCGGCTGCTGCGGTGGTGATGGCTGCGGGCAGTGGCGGGGCCGGCGCGGCCCGCTCCCTCTCGCGCTTCAGAGGCTGCTTGGCTGGCGCGCTACTCGGGGACTGCGTGGGCGCCTTGTACGAGGCCCACGACAACGTCGACCTGATGTCAGTCCTGCGTCACGTCCAGAGCCTGGAGCCTGAGCCCGGCACGCCGGGGAGCGCGCGGACAGGTGGGCGGGGCCGGGCACACGAGGGGAGACGGGTTGGAGGGGACGGAGTCTGAGGTGTGAACTAGTCTGGCTGTGAGATGAGGCTGCTGCGGGCAGCGGGGCCGGAGCTTGAGGACCTGGAGACTCCTCGGACTCGCGGGCCCAAGTCTGAACTGCTTTTTACACTTTCGCTCCGAACATTCCCCAGCTCGGGACATGGCAACACCAGCGTCCCAACTGTGCAAGCCAGAAACCCGGGCGTTATTCTCCTGGATCGCTCCTGGTTCACTATACAGATGCCCTCGATTTATGATGGAGTAACCTCCCGATGAAGCTATAGTAAGTTGAAAATACCTTAAGTCAAAAGTGCGTTTTCAACTTGCAATGGTTTTATCTGGACTTAGCCCCATCTCAAGTAGAGGAGCTTACTGAATCCGTATCACTTTAGCACCATTGTAAAGTCAGAGATTTATAAGTTGGACCATTGCAAGTCAGGAACCATCTGTATATCCCTTGCCTTGCTGATTTGACCTGTCTTATTCAGTTCTTTGGAATCATTACACCAGCAGGGAGTGCTCCTCTCAAAGCATAAATCTGATCCATCCTCCTTGGCATAAAACCTTGCTGTGATTTCCCAGTACCCTTAGGATAGAGCCAAATTCCATAACACATCCTACCTGGTCGACTGCCCTCCTGTATCTGCGATTTCATCTTATGCCAGCCGTGGCAGGAAAGCTAACTCCCTTTCCCTTTTCCTTCCCTTGTGTAGTCAGCTAATCACCCAGATCTCCGCTCAAGTGGCAGGTTTCAGGTCAAGCAGAGATGTGGGTCTTCCTGAGTCATAGTCAGAACCCTGGAAAGCACACACATTTAGGAGGATCACAAAGGAGGTTGTAAGAGAGCTAGCGGAGGAAACAGTTTGATAGGAGGAGAAGCAGGAGGTGTCATTAGCCATACCTAGGGAAAGAATTTCAAGATGAAGATGCCAGTCCTCGGCTTGGCGCCTATAGCTCAACCAGCTAAGGCGCCAGCCACGTACACCTAAGGTGGCGGGTTCGAATCCCCAGCCCAGACCCGCTAAACAACAATGACGGCTGCAACCAAAAAATAGCCGGGCGTTGTGGCGGGCACCTGTGGTTCCAGCTACTTGGGAGGTGGAGGCAGGAGACCTGCTTGAGCCCAGGAGTTGGAGGTTGCTGTAAGCTGTAATGCCACAGGCACTCTGCCCAGGGGGACAGCTTGAGGCTCTGTCTCAAAAAAAAAAAAGAAGATGCCAGTCCTTGGTGTCATGCTATAGAGGGGGAAATCTGGATTTTGAAAGCATTTTCGGTAGGTTAAGGAGGAGATGAAAAATAAGAAAATAGTATGGTTTGGTATGAGGAGAAGGAGAGAGATGAGTTCTAGTTGTAAAGACTAGATGGAGGGATGGTTTTTAATTGCATTTTTGGTTTCATGTGAAGATGAGGGAAAAAAGAACCTTAGAAAGCCCAACGCAAAATGGCCCAAGTGAAAAGGGAATATATTGGCTGACATAACTGAAAAGTCCAGAGGTAGGGCCGGCTTCAAGCAGAGCTGAATCTGGGGACACAAATCATTTCCCCAGGGCTCGGTTCCTCTCCCTTGTTCAGACTTGCTTTCTTCTGTGTGGGCTTCACTCATTCTGGCAGACCCCTCCTGTGGGATGGCCCCCAGAAGCTCCGAGTTACTCTCAGCTTAGCAACTCCAGCAGAGGAAGAGTTTCCCTTTGCAGCATTCCCCCCAAAAAGCCAAAATTAGGTCTCAGTGGCCTGGCTTAGGTCATATGTCCATCCCCAAACAAGGGAATGAAGGGTTCTATTTGATTGGGCTGCTGGTGGGGTTAGTACCACGTCCTAGTCACCTGCAATGAAAGTGCAGAAAGGTGAGGACAGTGGGGACAGTGACCAAATGAAAAGAGAACAGATGCTATTCCCCCAGAAAGGGAGATGTTGAGGATACAGGAGAGGACAAAGGAGAGCAAGGTCCTGGACCTCGGGCCTTTGAGGAGCACTGGGGGTGCAACTGCAGATAAGATAGCTGTTAGCTCCTCCTCCTGGTGAAGGAGGAGGTAAGGACCGCCCAGGAGTGAAAAGGGAAGAAGAAAGCAGAGTTTGGGGATCTAGACCCTGCCAAGAGGGGGTGTAGTAGCCATGCAAGAAATGGGAGTGGGGCCTCTTCGGGGGTCTGTTTCATTCTCTGAAAGCAGCTCTTCCACAAATAGGACTGTCCCTGGCAGGCTCATAGCCCATCTAAGCAGTCACAAATAAGCCAGAGCATTCTGAGCAAAAGGAGGTGAGCAGCTGGAGGAAGAGAGCGGGCCTAGCGGGGAGGACCCTGATCCTGACCCCACAGTAGGTTCTGAGGATGTGTAGGAAGGGGCTAGACAGGAATGGCATGAATGGCAAGGCCATGAATTTGGACCTTATCCTGAAGACAGTAGAGTGCCATGTGAACAGGCGAGTGAGGTGAGGAAGGTGGTCATCTACTTTCAGGAGGAATTTTCAGGCATGTATAGGTTGGATTGGAGGGTGGGACATGTGCAGGTCATATTAAAACTGGAGCTGCAGGGGTGGCAGCCGACAAGGATGGACGGTTTTCCTTCAGAAATCAGTGGGACATGGTGACTCGTGGGGACTTGAGTCAGAATAAAGAATTGTTGAGGAACCTGGGGCTAAAATTCGAGAGCTTCCCAAAAGCCTGGACGGGAGTAAGAGACTGACTTAAGGTCATTGCAGTTGTGGTAACTAAAAAGAATGAGCAGATGCCTTCACCCTGGAGTCTTGCACCTCACTCTCACCCCTGTCCTCTTCCCACAGAAGCACTGTACTACACGGATGACACAGCCATGGCCAGGGCCCTGGTGCAGTCCCTGCTAGCTAAGGAGGCCTTCGATGAGGTGGACATGGCTCACAGGTAAGGGGAGGTGGTCCTGGTAAGCAGAGTTATTATACCGCTTGACTAGAGGAATGTGTGCATGCCCAGGACCACCACTCTTAGCAGGACTCTGTGTCTGAGGCTGACACAGCTTCCCAAGCTAAAAATGACAGCACTGTTGGTACATCCTTAGATCCCTAAGACTTCCTCTTTTTCCAAACCAGCCCACTTTTCATTCCCAACTCTGAGAGGCATCCTTTGAACCCTAGTTCTATCTCCTTTCTCTCCCCTAGATTTGCTCAGGAGTACAAGAAAGACCCTGACAGAGGGTATGGTGCTGGAGTGATCACTGTCTTCAAGAAGCTCCTCAACCCCAAGTGTCGTGATGTCTATGAGCCTGCCCGGGCCCAGTTTAATGGAAAAGGCTCCTATGGGAATGGGGGTGCCATGCGGGTGGCTGGCATCTCTCTGGCCTATAACAGCATCCAGGATGTGCAGAAGGTATTTGAGGTGGGCTGGTTTGTGGGCTTCTCCCTCCCTCTTGTGCAGCGCAGATTCTGTAACAGCATGTTGTCTTCTCCCTAGTTTGCTCGGCTCTCAGCCCAGCTGACACACGCCTCCTCCCTGGGTTACAATGGTGCCATCCTACAGGCCCTGGCTGTGCACCTGGCTTTGCAGGGTGAGTCTTCCAGTGAGCACTTCCTCGAGCAACTCCTGGGCCACATGGAGGAGCTGGAGGGTGATGCCCAGTCTGTCTTGGATGCCAGGGAGTGAGTATGGGGCTGGAGGTGTGTGGTGTGTGGGTGCAGGTGGTGGGATGGGGGCCTCTGGCATTGCAACAAGCTGAAACCTCTCTTCTTCAATTGCAGAACCTGGGAGGTGGAGTGGGAATAAACCCCTTTGCTTTGTCTTGCGTTTTAGGGTTCTCAGAGTCCCAGACAACAAAACAACCTACTGACTCATGCAACACCCTCCCATTTCTTCTCAGGGGACACATGTAGGCTGTCAGCCTGACCACACCCCTGCTTACTGTCACATGCAGCCCCTTGCCCTGCCTGGCGACTACACCCTGCTAACTTGGACATTCCTAAATCTTTTCCCTAACCCACAGGCTGGGCATGGAGGAGCGTCCATACTCCAGCCGCCTGAAGAAGATTGGAGAGCTTCTAGACCAGGACTCAGTGTCCAGAGAGGAAGTGGTGTCTGAGCTAGGTGGGTGGACCTGCCTGTGATTTGTTCCCCCTTTTGTCCTTGAGGGTAGAGTCTTGGGTTCAGGGAGGGGGGGGGCGTGTGGAGTCATTTTGCCATGGCCATGCTCTGTAGATCCTTGGAAGGGATCCTTGGCAGAGTCGTGATCTCCCAGTGCCTTTGGCCTTGGGGAAAGGGATACCAGCCACCAGGTAATGATGATAACAGATACTTAATGTACCTTGTGTTTGTACTGGGCACCGTGCAGAATGCTTACAGACATGATCTCACTTTGTCCTCACAACAGTCCCATGAAAGAGTTACTAACTTGATTCACTCTGCACTGAGTCGTTGAATCCAAGAGCAGGAATCTTAGTATTTAGGTAACTTTACCAGTCACAGAGGCATTATGAAATGGAGTCAGGACTTGAACCCAGGTGGTTTCACTCTGAGCCTGTGATCTCAATCACAGACCTGCCTGAAACTGAGAATGTTGACTTGTGGCAAACAGCAGGAAACCTGAGGATCAGGGAGTAAGGCAAGCCTGTTTTCTGGCTTCCCCACAGGGAATGGTATTGCTGCCTTTGAGTCTGTGCCCACTGCCATCTACTGCTTCCTGCGCTGCATGGAGCCCGACCCCGAGATCCCTTCTGCCTTCAATAGCCTCCAAAGGACTCTTATCTATTCCATCTCACTTGGTGGGGACACAGACACCATTGCCACCATGGCTGGAGCCATTGCTGGTGCCTACTATGGGATGGATCAGGTTCCAGAAAGCTGGCAGCAAAGCTGTGAGGGCTATGAGGAGACAGATGTCCTGGCCCAGAGCCTACACCGAGTCTTCCAGAAGAGTCTGTGAGGACCACAGCTGCTGAGGCTATGCCACGTCCAGTGGGACCAGCTACAGCTCAGACTGGAAACACTGAAGCTCCTCGAGCTGGGCTCCCCTACCTCAGTCTTCCTGTGGTATGGGGCTGGGGTCTTCCTTGGGGGAGGTCATTGGACCAGCGGGTGAGGGACCGGTGCCTCCCTCACTCTGGGTCCTGGCTTGCTGCAGAGCTGTGGAGCATTCCCTGGCTCCTCAGTGGGATATGCGGGACCAGGGCAGTTTTGTTCTGGAGGGACACTTAGAGCATTTTCCTTTGTTATCTGGGACACGGGATTTGGGGAAGTGGAAATGATCTGCAGTAGCATCATTTCTCCCTGTTGGGTTTTAGCCAGTTTGCCAGCAAGCCTGCCCTTGACTAGGCAAGGTTTGTGAGTGCAGGTTTTGTGGATTGAGGGACAAGGACTTGCATCCAGCTGATGTAGTCCACACCACCCTTGTCTGTCGTGGAGTTTATTAACAGCTTCCAGCGGAAGTCACAGCAATAAACAGTTTTTGGTAAATCCCACCACTGTTTTCCTGTTTCTGTTCTGTGAATGAATCTGTCTCGCCTGGGAACTTGACCTTCTTGAGCTTAGTGCCTATCTGTCTGGGCTGCTTTTTCCTAGGAGCTGGGACCCCAAGGTAATGAGCTGCTATGTTGCCAGGCAAATTCCTCTCATTCTTCCAGCCAGCTGTATGTTCTGCCAGGAAGGGCAGAACAGGCATGGTTTGGTGGCTCTTCCTGTTAGAAATCACGCACAGTGGCCCAGGCAGCTAGGCCAAGTGCTTTGCCAGAGGCAGTGAGCAGGAACAAGCCACATTTTTCTGCTCTCAAAGCCTAACTTCTCCAAATAAGAGCCAGGCCCAGCTGGCACAGAAACAGGAACCCTGAAGGATCCCTTCTATCACCAGACTGCCAACCTCTGAGTTGGGAGGGTGTGCCATTGCAGGTGCCCTGGGTAGACTGCATGTCTCCTCTATCTTGGGGCTCAAAGGCCTTGCCACACAAGGAAATTATACACAGCATCCATTTTGAAGAAAGGAAAATAGGGAAGAAACACCTGTCCTAACAGCAGGGACATTCTTCGAGCATCCCTCCAGCCTCAGTGGAAAGACAAGCATACACAGTCTGCAGCTGGCCTGAGGCTTGAAGACTGTTGGGCTACATTCAGCCAAGGCGGGGCTCTGCCAGGCTGGGGACTTTTCAGGGCACGGATCATTTCAGGTTGGCTACCCAGACACCAGAGCCAGGGACAGATTCTTGCTGCTGAGCATGGTAGGCAGTAAGCAGGTGCTTTCTGCCCAGGATAGCTCCCTCCAGCCCTTTTTTCAGCTTTAGGGCCGGTACTAGCCCAGCCCTCCGGAGCAAAGATTCACAGTTTCATTCATAATTTCTATCAGATGTTGAAATTTGGCCTTTGGGGTCCTGAGCCAGCTGTCATGGTCCACTACCCCTGAGAGTTTATAGGAATGTTCCGTGAAGCTCAGTCTGACTCCCCCAGCTCCAGCCACTGCTTTCCTCTGGTTTCCTAAAACAGCTCTTGGCATTTGTTTGGTACACAGTCTCGGCAACTTAGAGTGTCAAACATCTCTGATGTGGTGACAGAAACCTGGGCTGGGGAGCTGGAGAGGAATGCATGCTCCCCGAGAGGGCGGGCACACAAGAGCCCCAGATGCCTTATGAAGTCCAAAGCCTTGTTTCGGCACAGCACTGTTTTATATAACAAATTTATTGAAGTTGTGTCAATACAGTGAATATGGTGGTTTTTCTTTTCAAAAAGAAGTCCCATTTTGTTTGATTCCCCAGTGCATTTTTCCCGAATCTTCTGTGACACAGGGCACATGATAAATACGTAGAGAACTAAGCTTCCTATACCAAGTAAGAAAAGAAATTACTAATGGAAAACATTTAAACCTTAATCTTTAAAAAAAAATTAGGACTCAGAGTATAAAAATGCACAAGTAATGTAGTTTTCATAGTTAAATTCTGACATTGTTTATCAAAGCTAGTCAGTTAAGTGGACACCTGCAACTCAGATCCCATAAACATTTCAGAAACGCCAATCACCCCTCCCTGAAGGCTTCAGGAATGAAATTTGGCTGAAGCTCAGCTCTGTGAAACAGCTTTGGGGGAGGGCTCCCCTGGTATCCTGCTTAGTCCCTTGTGTTCCCAGTGGGAGCCAATTAGTTTCTGCCAATCAAAACTTGTCCCTAACACATTAGATTCTAGTGGCTTTGACCCAAGGAAGGGAGTTGAGCAAAGGTATGATTTGAAACACCAAGTTCTTTGGGGTGTCAGGGGGTTAGAAATAATCAAGTGTCACTGGGGCAGATTTGGGCTTTCATTTCTCCTTTTGAAAGTTAAAGTTAACAAACAGCCTGCTCTGGAGAAGTCGTGGGCAGGGGCGGAGTTCTGCCAATGAGCCTGAGGGAAGCACAGCTGAACGAGTCAAGTCAACAGTCATCCTATTTTCAACATGGACAGTCTGGAGACGGCCAGCGTTGAAGCAGTGCAACAAGGCCACATCCTGAATGACCCGGGTTCATACTTAGTGCAGGGATGTGGGCTGGCCTAGTGAGGGCTGAGGCAAGGCCTCTTGCCGCCACTGGGCAAGAATGTCCACCATCCCCCAAACTGATCCTCTCAGCTTTATCAACTCAGCTTGAGCTAGGGGGTGAGGGCTGGGGAGTGTGTGTGTGTGTG